GCTGCAATGGGGGCTGTAGTTTGTCCCAGCTTCCTTTTTTTTAAGGTTTCTGGGAAATTCAGACCAACTAGAATCCTGAGGAAGCTGGGCCTAGAAGGAAATACCCAGGTATCCATGGCAATTACATTGCCTAATGTAAAGGATTTTACAAAGTTTCCTCTGTCCTGTGGTCTCTGGTTTCTGGTAGACCTCTCATAAATTATTTAGTCCAATAGGAGTGTGTGAGTCCATGCATGAGTGCTTGCATGTATGTGCCTGTATGTTTGGAACATGAATATTTGCAACCTCGGCAACATTCAGTGATAACCAAGGTTGCTGGACTAGGTCATGAATCGTGCCAGCTGGCTTTCCTGCAGATTTGTGCCATCCAACCTCATTGCTATTCAGTAGTCTTTCTGTCTCTGTTTTTATTTTTTTCTCCCTATTGTATTTCCCACAGCTGTTATTCCTTACCCCCTCCCTTTACCTCAAGTTCAGAAAAAATATTCCTGTTCATTTCATACCAGCAGATGACCTCAGAACATACATTACAGAGATTGAAGCTATCTATTCCAGACCTCTGTGTGATTTTGTTTTGCCTTCTTTTGAACTATATATAAAGGGATCATCATGTATTATTCTGTGACCTGGTATTACGTTTTAGAGATCCATTTATGTTGATGCATATACCTGTAATTTGTGTTTCACTGTTGTGCAGGTTTCAAGATTGCAAGATAGTAATACTGTACACCTGAAACTTATATACAGTGTTATATACCAATCTTACCTCAATAAAAAAAGAATGCATTTCAATTTATTTTTGTATTCTACTGTTGTTAAAAATTTGGATTGATTTGTTATTACAAACAAAGTGTTATTATAAATGTTCTTGGGTAAGTTTGCTCACATTCATGTAGTCAAGAGCTTCTCTCGAATGTATCCCTGGAAGTGGTGGTGCTGGATGTACACAAATGCACTTTTACCCAGCAATTCCAAATTGTTTTCTCAAGAGTTTTTACCAGTTTATTCTACTTTATCCTACGTCAGCAATGTATGAGAAGCATCTTTAGTTCACCTATTACCAATATATAGCACTTTCAGACTTCTGAATTTTGCCAGTCTGTTTGGAGATGGTGTTGTATTTCATGGTAGTTTTAATACACATCTCCTTGATCGCTATTGACATTAAGAAATGTTTCCCGTGTTTACTATCCGTTCATCTTCTGTGAAAAACTTTTAGTTTTATTTTCTCATTTTCAATGGACTGTTTGACTTTTTCATCTGAATTCACATTTTAAAATTTATTCTGGACGGCAGCAATCCTTTTTCACTCTTTTCCTTTTTGGTTTATGCTTTCTGTTTGATTTAAAAATTATTTAGTACCCTGAAGTGATAAAAATATTTTCGTAAAATCTCTTTTAAAGTTTTAAACTCTTGCCTTTTCAATTTAAGTACTTGATCCATTGGAATTGTTTATATGGTTGAAGATACACAATTTTTTTCCATATGGATAATCAGTTGTCCCAAAATAGTTTAACGACAAATTCATCCTTTCGTCACTGATTTACAATGCTGGTTCTCTCATGTATCAGGTTTCCATCTAGGTGTGTAGCTCTGATTCTGGAATCTCTGTCCCATTCCATTGGTTTATAGGTTTATCTCCACACTAGTACCACACTGCCTTAATTACTATGTATTTGTAGTAAGTCTTGTTATCTGATGTAGGTCCCTCCACTGGTTATTATTCTTTAGATAAAAATTATTCAGACTATTCTTCAATTGTGTGAGAAAATCCCTCTTAATTCATAGCTCCACCCCCAACCCTATAACATAGTTTTATAATTATTTATTATTATTCTTTTACGCATTTGCCTTCGGAACAACATAGGGGGGAAGGGGGAAAAGAGAAGAGTTCCATGTCAAATATGCATTACTACTTACTGTCAGGTTTGCTGTGTAGCTTATTTTATTGTTGTTCTTTATTTCTTCATATGATTTCTCATTATTGTCTAGGGTCCATTCATTTCAGTCTGGTGGACTCCTTTTAGCCTTTCTTACGGGGCAGGCCTACTAAGCACAAACTCCCTCGGGTCTTTACATTTGGTAATGTTTTGCCTTCATTTCTGAAGGATAGTTTTATCAAATACAGAATTTTTGGTTGACAGTTTTCTTCTTTCAGAACTTAAGCATGTCATCTTACTGCCACTTGGCCTCATGGTTTATGAAAAGAAATCAGTTTATAATCTTATTGAGGATCCTTTGTATGTGATGACTTGCTTCTCACTTGCTATTTTCAAGATCCTCCCTTTGTTTCTTTGAAAGTTTGGCTATAATGTGTCTTGATGAGGATCTCTTTGCACTTATTCTACTTA